CACACACACACACACACACACACACACACACATACACACAGTTGATAAAAACAACAACACATTTGCTCTTTAAAAACACTAGTGACGTACAAAGATGTATATAGATGACATTTATTGTGCATACTCCAGGTACCAAATGACGTTAAAGGACACAAGATGGTGGCACCTCTATCGGGGGGGGTGTATTTTAGCTTCATTTTTGTACAACGAGAGGAGGTTGAAACGTGTCGGCTGACTTTTAAATACAACCTATAATTTGGACATACTAGAGCTATACTTAGAGTTGTGCGTAGTGATGTAGGAGGGTGTGTAAGGTGCGAGAGCGCTCAGGCTCTGGAGAAACGCGTTCCTGCATCTGTATAAGGCCCCACATTCCTGCTGAATGAGGTCACTTCAGGGAGTGACCTTTGACCTGTCTTCCTGACGCTCACTGCACTGCTCCTCTTGTACTCCTCTCAATTTCTTTTGTCCTCTCTCTCGTCTTTTCTTCTACTGCTGCTGCTATCTTCCTGTTAATTCTGACATTTTGGGCATTTTTTTTTGCCCTCTCTCCATTGCCTTTGTGTTTTCTGCCCACACTGTGAAAAGTGTCTGTATAGTAACAAATGTGAAAATGCAAAAAAAAAAAGGCTGCGGATATTATTTTATTTTGTAAAGGTCACTAAAGTCCTATTTTTTTATCTATATTTTTTTGCCTTTATGATGAGTTCCTATTTTCACAGTGCACACGAAGCCCATCTCTCAGCTCCTTCATCTCTACTTTTTTTCCTCCAGCATCATCACTTGGCCTTCTTATTAGTTGACCTAATTGTATAACATATGTATGCGTGCCTGCGTGCGTGTGTGTGTGTGTGTGTGTGTGTGTGTGTGTGTTTGTGCGTGTGTGTGTGTGAGTCCATAGCACGGCTCTGCCCCTCCTCCCTGGCCTGATTATTGTCTTGCAGAGAAAGCTTCCTTTTAGTATTCAGTATCCATGGCAACGTATCCTTCCATGAAGAGCTGTCTGTCTATGCTGATCAGGAGCTCCCTCAATTCCTCTTCTCATTTCCCTCTTTCTTTCCCGCTGCCCCACCCACTCTTTACTCTTCCCCTTTCCCCTACATTACTCTCTCCTCCACGACCTCCCCCTTTCCCCTTTTTCGCCTTTAGCCTACATTTTCCGCCCACCTCCTCTCAGTACCTCACTCCATCATTCTCCTTACACACATTTGCCCGATTGACTATCAGATGTTAAGGTTCAGTGAGATTCCTAGAGTGGTATCAGTTATCTCTGTGTGGCTCTGTTGGCTTATTTTTCTTCTCTCCTGCCGAGCCATGACTCCAGCTAAAGTAGAAATACCACAGAAGCCTCCATCATCAGCTATAGAGCATCGGATTTTGTTGAACTCCTTAAGCGCACTCAAAGCCTGTGAAAGATCGCCGCTGGCCCAGTTCCCTACATGCACATTCTGATGCAAACCATGCGCTGTAGGGTTTCTGCTGATTGGCTAATTAATTAAATCAAACATATTTTCTGGATTCGTCATGACGCTGGGCTCAGGAGGAACAGTGAAGGTCCTGTTTTGATAATATATCATGACTGAGTCAGAGTGAAAGCATGAAACTAAAAAAATGTATAGAAGTCTTTTGTGTAAACAACGCACGCTAAGCTATGTATTGTATTACACTTGTCCACTGGAATATTTTTATTTAAAATATTGGACATCTCTGGTGTCAGCAAACTGTAAAGAGGTCAAAACCAATGACATAACTGACCTATTTAGACGTATATAACAAGTGAAGCACATGACCAGGTTACTGATGATCTAATTTTATAGTAATTTAACCTTCGCTCAGTAAAATGAGTGAGAACGTTTGTCACAACACTGACCCACAAAGCCAGAAAAGCATGCAGCACCTGAGCAGGTACAGAAGCTGAGAGAAAATGACAAACCATAAAGAATTATAGCGTCTGCCGCAGGTGCAATTCTTAAAAAGCTGAACCCTACTCATGACCTCTGACCTCTTCACCCAGCTCAACAACTCTCCAGCTCTTTTTACCAATAATATATAATGACTGGCAACCCCCAATGCCCTCTACAAGGAGATGTTCGGCACACACTTTGTAGAAGCCTCAATAAAAAGAGGAGACTGACTCAGATAACTCTTACAAAGGGAATTGTTCTGGATGTATATACATTAAAAGCCACACGATACCCAGGTTTAAATGCAGAAGTTGTATTTACAGTTGATATGATTTAACAGCCATGAGATATTAAAGTCTTTTCAACTCACCATCTTGTCAAGTGCCTCAGATTCCTTCAACTTGTCTAATGTTCATCAATATGTTTGTCACTTCATCAGGCCATATGGTGCCTTACCATGTCCTTCCATTTTGTCTCAGACGTATCAAGAACACATATGCCTCAGTTAGAAAGCATTAAAGAGCTGCGGCTTCTGAAAGTATGATACAACAGATTTCCCTCATATATATTAAGATATATGTGTTTCTAATTTTTGAACTCAAACGAACAAGCTCCACATCAGAAGCCAAGCAGTCGCTGATTAATGTATTTAAAAGCTGCTGTCGTCTGGTATAACTGCAGTTTTTACAACTAGCTGACATTGTCAGAACTGTTATTATGATTTCACACTACAGGCTTTTGAAAATTAGGCATTTATGAAATGTTGGTACCTTGACGGTCCACTGACTGTTTCACATCAGATCATAGCAGAGGCTGTTAAGGAGCTTTGTTTTAGTCTAGAGGAAAAAGCTGCAGTTCTTCAGAAGCATGTCAACGTGGTCACGCTCTACGCAGACACACAAATGTCCATGTGATTATATGCACAAAACATTTACTGACATATATAAGTGCTCAGATGTTAGTTTAGTCTCACATGACGCTGTGTCACTGGTCATGTGTGTAGGTTCACAAGAACATGCACATATGAGAACCACACTTGGGTCAGAGTCTCTTTATGAGCCACAAGGGTGCATACATTCATCCTCCTCTGCCTCTCACCCACGTCTGTCCACTGTGTGAACTCAGGAATGTGTTCCACAACATGGGAGTAAACACACGAAGATCACAAACATATACGGGTTCTGACAACCTGGCATTAAACTATTTTCAGGTTCTTTCTTCCTCGATTTGTTTTATCCCAGAATCTCTGAAGCTCACATAACTACCCTCTTCACACCATGAACCATTTATAACCTATAGATGAAAACCTCTTTTTGAAACGATACAGGTTGACTGTCCAGCTTATAGATGTTGTCTGAGGAATATTTCTATCTTCATTAATCAATAATTTATCCCCCACTGCCCTGTGAGTGTGTGAGTGTGTGTTTGTGCTCACCTGCCCCGTACACAACGGAGTAAACGATGCGTTTAGCGTGTTCCCGATCCTCAGAGGTCACCTGACCCTCGCTTATCCCCTTCCTGAGGTACAGAGATAAACAGATTGAGAGAAACGGTGGATTTTTTTTATATCTAAATGAACTATATATTGTTTTAAGGTGAACAAAATGGTGTAGAGGTGAAAAGATTGGTTCAAAAATCAGGTAAATTGAAACGTAGACAGATGAGGTGGTAAATCAATAAGAAATGAAGAAGGGAACAACTAAAGAAGAACTAGAGGGACACTCCGAACTCCAAACACTGATTCAAACATAACCTCCTTGGCAGAGGTAATAATGTGGAGCAGGAGAGGAATCCTGGACACATAAAAAGAAAAGAAAGAAACGTGAGACAGAGCAGAAAAAGACAGAAAATGAAAATTACTGAATAGAAACTAGAATGAAATGAAAAAATAAAAACCAAGTGAGGCATGAACGTTAAAAGAACATGAACTGCAAGTGGACAGAGGGTCTAGAAAATAAGGGCAGAAGAAGAGAGAGAGAGAAAGAGGACAGTTATGTAACGTGACTTGTAGACAGCCGTAGAAGTGGGGATCAGACAGGGTGGGACGTCTGCAAAGTGGCATTTCTGGAGGGGCTGACGGGGAGCTGCCAGGGCTGATCAGTGTAAAGAGTGGGTCCCCACCACACACACACACACACACACACACACACACACACGTGTCTGCTGAGCCTCAACACAACAGTGTTTCATAAGGTCAGTTGTGTCAATGTCTGTTGCCTCAGGGTAGGTTCTTAAAAATGAGATGATTACAGTCAAAATTCTTACCCTCTCACAAAACATACATACACGTCTGTTAAATGCCAGCTTAAGGTAAATGCTGGGTTATATAACCTTAAATACTGGTGACCCAAAGGTCAGCCTCTGGGTGAGCAAAATCCATTCTAGCTTTTCACTGCCCCCTGCTGGATAGGTTAATAATCTGCTGGAGGCTTTTAAAAACTGCAGCGTCAGATATGCAACATACAGCATTTTGGATCTGAAACACACTCCTATATCTAAGCTTTCCTACAATATCAGGTTGTTCTCACGTGAACAGTTTGGCAACTGACACCTGTCTGCAGGAAGTTGTAAGAAAAGAACGCTGAGAAACGAGGCCGGTTGCTCTTGGCTGCTTCAGAAGACAGTTATTCTCATCATAACAAATCTAAATTATAAACAAAGCAACAAGGAATCAGTTGTGTAGCAGGCTGACTGAAACAGTTTTCTACATTTGTCACATTCTGATCTAAACCTGTTTGGATGTGGCGTCTGTTTTGGCCCCATCCATCATTCTGTTGCAAGATACTTCGTTTTTCACATTTTCACCAATTCATTGAGTGTAATTTAGTGCAGCTTGATTAAATTTAAAGGGACTGATGGGACTTGGAGAAGAGACATGTGCTCTACTAACCAAAAATAATTGAGGGTTCATTGGCGAGAGAATGATGGGACGCTGAAGTGAGGAAAGAAGGGGAGAAGGAGGGGAAAAGATGAGAAGAAAAAAAAGAAATAAAATAGTGATGAGTGATGAAAAAGGATAGAGAAAGAAAGAAGGAGAAAATACTGGAAGGAAGGAAAGGGTGGGACTTGAAAATATAAGAACAGGGAGATAACTGGAAGAAACAAAATAGAAGACTATAAAAACCAGAGAGTAAGGTTTAGTATAATCCCTGCAGAGCTGCAGTGACAGCACACCAATTAATTTGTTTAAGGTGAGAGAGAGATAATGTAAGAGACAAAGTATAGCCTCAGCAGAGCTGTAATTATGGCCTGTGCGACCAGGTAATCTGTTTAACCGGCCGCCCTCTGCCACACACCTGACTGAGACAGACGACAGGAGTAAAGGTAGGACACTGGGACACACACACACAAGACAGGCAACACAACACAAATACTTCACAACGTGACAATGTAATCACTAGGGGCGACTGGCCCAGGGGTGTCCTGCCCATGGACAACAGAGAGCAAAGGAGGCTGATGGCACGGTAGTCATGGCAACAAGATTATAAGCGTATGAAGTGAAGGAGGCGGCAGTCTGGAGAGAGAGTGAAGGAGAGACTGGGCGTGAGAGAGGGAAAGAGAAACCCTGTGTGGAACCATGAGTGTCATCACTGAACTTTGAGATCGAGATTGAGTGTGTGTGTGCGTCTTACCACTGAGAGGCCAACATGGTAAAGACGTCAGCCTGGGGGTTGGTAAAAATGCGGAGCAGCTCAGGGTCGGAGGAGAGATGAGCTAAGAGACGCAGCTCCACCTGGCAGAAGTCTGAAAACACCACACACATACAAACCTCTTCTTAATGACACATGGCTTCAATCACACATCCATGATCCTCAGCCTGTCACCTTCAGTTGAGTCATTTCCAACATTTTAGCCATAACATAATAACCAACAGTGAGTGTGTGAAGATGAAGTCCCAGGTGTAGGTGAGGTGAGCGACAGAGCTGGAGCTCCCATAGAAGAAACTGGTGCCACTGCCTCCTACATGCTCGTCTCCATATTACAATGAAAAGTCTAAAAAGATGCAACCTCCTTTTTACTTCAGCCACCAAAAAGCATGATGCTGACCCCCGATGTCATTATTCCAGATATGAGATACATGAAAAAAAAAAAAAAAAAGATAATACACACAAAGCAGCCTGATTTAATTCTCACACACACATTTACCAGCCGAGACTGACTTGTTCGTCATGTATTAACAGTTAAAACATGGAGATAGAACAGGGGACGTCGGACAGTTACAGAACAGACACATGAAAATTTCAACAACAGAAAAAACCTTGGAGACCAAATCCTTTCACAAACTCGCCCGAGGCAATTACAGTACAAGCAGAGAGATAACCAGAGGTACTAACGAGACACAGTGATGGACACACACACACACACACACACACACACACACACACACACACTCTTTGTGGCAGGTGACAGTTTATCAGAGTGACATGTACTGTACTGACAAGCCTACAATTCTCTTGTCAGCTTGGAAGATCGAAACCAAAACATCTCTCAAGACAAACACACACACACACACACACACACATAAAGCCACTGCAGTTCATTCCATTACTGTAATGTCACTCCTCTTCCTCTGCTTTGCTGCTTCAAATTCAAATTAAATCCGACTAAATGCATGAATAAAGACTCAAAATGGAAAAGTGGAAACACTGAAAGAGTCTTTTTCTCAGTCAGGATGAAGCAACCAGCTGTAACAGGTTTCAGCTCACACGGGAACAAAAAGAACGATGGAGGATGGGTGTATGGGATCGTGATGGGGGAATGTCACGCACCAGCACATTCAAAATAGACATCGTTCCATTTACCAGACACAGATGGCAGAGGAAGCGGATAAAAGGGAAAGAGAGAAGAGGATGGAGGTGGAAAAATAAGAAAGCAGGGTGGAGGGTTGAGGGTGAGGTGAGAGATGGAGGGGAAGAGATGACCGGCTTTGGTTGTGATGAGGTGAAGGAGGGAGTTTCTAAAGATATCATCCCATCAATGTTTTATGAGCCCGATCGCATTTCCTCCGAGCATGGCCACCGGCCTTGGAAACATATTGCTGACCAAGATCTGTGTGTGTGTGTGTGTGTGTGTGTGTAGAAAGAGAGTGTGAAACTGGCATGAATAGAAAGAAAGAGAGATTATGGGGATGAATCCTGTAAAATCAAATGTATGAAATATAAAAGTAAACATGAAGGTAGGGCTTTGCATGTGTTCTTCTGCTTCTTCCTGTCTCTGTGATAAAAATGCCACTATCAAGAATCCTTGTATTGATCCATACAGAAATAGCTCCAATCTGCAGTAAACTCTCAATAGACCCGTAAACGAGAGGATAAATCCTGTCTCCCCTTCAAACCGAAACTACATAACTGAGAATATATCGTTTTTAGATGCTCACTCTGATTAGTTTTATTAATACATTCATTATTAATCAACTGAATATTCACTATTGGTTTCCACTCACTTGTGATGTGAATTTTCAGCAAGAGGCACTTTATCCTTATCAACATTCAATACGTGGTATTGAAGCTAAAGCCAAAGCAATTTTGATGATTGACAGAACAATGAACGTTGATTGACAAGATATTGTTAACTTCATGGGTTTGGGTTTTAAGAATTTAACAAGAGGCGTTTACTATTTTTACTAACAAAATAATGTATAACTTAGAAATTTAAATAACTTGTAATAAGTAGCCCTAATAAATAGAGCACTTCAAATATAAGAATAATATAAGCCTTTCAGAGAAATATCTGCTTTTATGTTTGCCGAGAGAAAAAGGTGTATTTTATGGAATAAACAATACAGAAAAGATGTGTATTTGTTTATATTTTTGCTCTATATATTCAGTTCTATTTGTGTTTTCTCTTTATCAGCCCCCAAAAATCCATGTTAGTATATTGGTTTACTGATTAATCTCTTTGTAAAGGCAGATTTTCTTTTTCTTTTGCAGTGTTCAATTTCAAACATAGAATATTTTACACTCTAACCGCCATGCAGGATTTGCTGTATATATATATATATGTATAGATAGATAGATAGATAGCACCATGTATTGCTTTAGATTACAGATATTAACAACAATAAATAAGAAGGCACCAGCACCAGTTCGTTGGACAACATCCTAAGATATCATGGGACTAAGTCTCATACATCTTTAATGTTTCCAGCTACAGTGGCCTGAACAGCCCTCAGTGCTGCTCTGCAGTACAGCGTGGAGTATGAAGGTTAGAGAGAAAAAGCTTAGGAGCCCAACTCAAACCTGCAGATTGAGAATATCAAATGTCCCTTGTGGGTTGGGGTTGGTGGAGAAAAGCTTCCAGAAAGAATAAGCAAACCAGCACAAGCCAAAGTAATAGTTCCATAGGTTGAACTAGATTCTTCAAGTTAAATAATGTGGAATCGTCAGAGCAAGGATTAAAAAATGACTTCGTGATAATCATAATAATAAATCTACAACTGCTGTTAACATTTTAATCTACCTTTAACTTCAGACTTTATCGTCCTGCATTGAAGGTCAAAACATCTGCATCACTGAAAAGTGGAATTATGATTTTCAAATAGATTCTATTACAATTGAATCATTAAAAATAATGGTGATAATAACAATAATTAAAAATTCTTCAGAGGTAGCAACTTTCAAACACATTGACGTGTCTCTGAGTTAAACTTTTAGGACACTGGGAAGTGATAATAGTTTAAAGAAACACACACAAACACAGATGAGTATGAGTTGCTCCACTTTGGGAAGGACATCAGAGGACACAACTGGGTGAGGAGGGGTTGTTTCCATGACAACCTTGCCTCTAAACACACGTGTGAGTGTGTTTGTGTGGTTGTTGTGGGTATTTGTTAGCCAGATGCTGTCCGTGTGTTGCTGCCCTGTTGTGTGTACATGTGGGATCCTCTCTCTTTTTCGCTGCTGTCCTCCTGCTAACCCTGGTTTATCCGTCTGGTTATGTAAGTGCGCGACACACTGTCAGGGCCAGCAGACGCCCAGCCTTCCCCGAAGAGCCCTCCCAAGCTGACAGTGTCCTCTCTCTGCAAAGCACAGACCGGCAAAACCCCCCAAAGTGACCTCAGACCAGCTGAGGCTGTGTCAACATGAGGGTTTTTGTAAGTTACAAACTTGAAAAGACAAGTATAGCTGAGGCAAAACAGTTACGCTGATTAGATGCAACACACGAAAGTACAAAAACACAGCAAGAAGACAAATCTTAATATCTTGTGTTTGCCCCACTTATCAAATTTTCAGATGAACTGCTGTCAACAGATTCACACAAGTCTGAACCATGAATGCAGAACTAATGTGGTTTAGCTGTAAAACAGGAACTTCTCAGCTGCTTCAGGTTACGGCCTGCAGCTAATGGTAAAAATCAATTTGTGTCAAAACATGTGAGTGACTTAAGTCTAAGAGTGAGGCCTTTACTTGTTAGTTGCACTGTCAGCGAAAGTAAAATGACATAAATGAGATCCCTCTCACAAAAGTATCTTTGTATACTATGGAGAAAACTGGAAAAATGGCAGAAAGAAATGATCCCAAAATGAAATGTTTCGAGTTTATGCATTGACCTACCTGCAGCAAGGAAGGTGTAGCCCTTCTGAGGAATGAACATGGCTCGAGGGTGAACTGTCACCACCTCCTCCTCCGTTCCTGTGGGACCAAACACAGACCCCTGAGGAACACTTCACCACATCACGCCCCGATCGCTGCTGTTTAAAATGTGTGCACTAGTGTCCTCCAGTAACGTCTGTGCAGGTTTAAACTCTTTGAAACACAAAGTCTGTTTCATCAGGAACAAAAGTGTTTCCACTGTGTGTTCTATTACCTGTAGTTGAATGAGGTCTGTTTGCTTTGATAGATGAAGACATTTTAAAAAAATGTAAAAGGCCTCACATTTCAAATGGTGAAACTTTTTTTTCAGTTCGTCTGCATCAAAACCATGAAATTATCAGGTATAATATTTATTGTATTTTCTGTTGTTATTCAAGTTTTAGGTAAATAAAATATACTCAGTACTTATCACACTCAAAAAATTAGCACATTAACTTTAGCAAATAATAGTTGTGTAACCCCACACACACAAACCTAGTTTATCACAAAGCACTTTTAATTGCTGGTTATGAGTCGTGCTAGAAAGAACTCAAACTACATCGACCTGCCATGTAAAGAGCAGCATCTACTGTGTGTCACAGCCGATCACAACACATAAATTGTAATAATAAATACATTCTGTGTGTGTTTGTGTGGTTGACAGACACTGACAGAGACAGACTCAGAGAAACACTGACAGTGAGAAGACGGGGACTTAGTGAAGCAATAAAGAAAGTCAATACATCTAACTTAGTTAAGTTGTGAAGCCAAAACGCCCCATTTAGACACAAATCAGAATCCAATCAGGATCACTCTATCACTGCACTCCACACTGATGAGGTCCAGTACAATCACATCCTCTGTCAGCATGGTGAGACCACCTCTTCAGCAGCTGCAGTACACACACATACAAATACTGCACTGTAATCAGTTGTGATTAAGGCTGCAAACTCCCCTCCCCTGAAGGCACCAGAACATAACTGATGTGGGGATGACAGGCGGCAGAGGAGAAGTGAGGATGATGTGCAGGATGGACTGAAGAAGATTTGATGACAGGGAGTTTTGGGAATCTGAGTGAGGAGCAGGAGTGCTGATGTTAGCACCTACGAATCACTCAAACAGAGCGAGAAAGAGAAAGAAAGAAAGAAAGAGGCAGAGAGAGAGAGAGCAGGGGACAGAAACAGAGGTGTAAAGTTGAGAGTGAGATCACCACAGTTACGAATGGAAGCAGAGTCGATGTGGCCTGACAACGCCAACAAATGACTGGACTTATATCGATGTTTTATTCATTAACAAATGGAAAAATACGTTTTTTTGTCCTGTGCTTGGGGAAAAGTGTCAGGCGGCTAATCCTGCGCCTCAGGAAAGTAGAAACTGGAGCGCTGCAGATAAGAGATGACTTCACAACACTGCAAGACGCCATCTTTAATTAGGAGCTGATCGTTTATCTAATGACATAAACCCATGACATCATTCTTGGATGGACCAGGAGTTTGCACAAGGGGCACGTCCACTTAGGCTGACATTAAAGTGCAGTCACGGACGATGATACATCCCTGACAGCCATGCCTTACCGTGGATGTACTGCTTCTTGGTGATTTGAAGAGGCTGTCTGGGCAGCGCCTGGAAATTCTAGTTAGGAGAGAAAACACATTTTGTGAGCCAGCTCAAGTTGACAATACAGTCCCATTTAGTGTGTAGACACTGTTATAGTCTCTCATTACTTGATGGAAATGAGTCGTCCCTTTTTCAACAGTATTTTGTTCAGATAATTTATTCCCCACTGAAGAAACCTGAATGAACTAATATAGCTTTGCACACGAGAGAGGTCATATACTCTATACACTGTGTCTACTGAAATATCCTGAATTTTGTCCCAAGTACAGACCAAGCTGTTAAAAAAAAAACTGATCCTACTTTTAGGCAAAAGCACATTTTGCTGCTTTTCTTCTGAAGCAAAAAACAAAATAATAACCGTATGACAGAGATGTGTGAGTTTAATATTCCAGTCTCCTGTCGTAGTCAACACTTTTTACAATTCCCAAGTATCCAAATGTCCCATGACAAGGAGAAACCCTTTATAGCATTTAAATGGCGCTGGCTGCTTTGCTCGGAGAAGATCAAGAAAAACAGAAAGCCACCCTGAGACTCCAGCCAGCACCACACATCTTTGAAGTTTTCAAACCCACGTCTTAAAATAGGAATAGTCTGATGCTCACTGGGCGGTCGACCCACCCTGGAATCGACTCACCGAGTAATCTAACACGCTGCTGATAAAGACATACACACACTAACACATACAGAATTACATGTATGCAGCTTTCTTCTGCCTGAAGGAGGAAAATGGGAAAGCTCACAAGCTTTCCCACACCGTTTGAAGGTTCATACTCAGCACTTTTAAATTCCTGTTAATCGCACTGTAACCACCCTTTAAACACACACACACAGAATGACGCATGGAAAGTTGCTCTCTGAGACACACACACGCACACACACACACACATGCAGACAATAACTAAAGTGTCTTCCATCGTGTTCAGAATACAACTGTGCATGTAGTTGGAGCCCACAGTGAGTGTGCATGGTTGTGTGAGATCCAGAGAGAAACAGAAACAGCTCTCTGTTTCCACTACTCATCCATTATTCAAGAAGGAGTGAGGGGGGAGAGAGAGAGAATATGAAAAGACAGGACTGCAGTGACAGGGTGTGGACAGTGGAAACGATACATGAGGGACCAGGCACCAGCCCCCTTTGCACATACACACACACACAAACTTTGTGTGAGATAAATAACCTGCAGTGTGTATTTGGGGCAGAGTGAATGGCAGAAGGTGCAGGTAATTACTAATATGTGTGTGTGTGTGTGTGTGTGTGTCTGCTCTGTGGGTGTGTTGCCCTGTGATGTGACAGGTTACTCACTATGTCAGTTGTGAATGCTCAGCTTTCCCATCATGCACAGTGACGGAAGCATAAATCAGGACTCGGGACACACGCACACAAACACACAGACGACATATAGCGTACAGAGCACAGTGAAGGACCCGAAACACTGTGCAGCACACTAATTTTCCCAGGGTACACTCTGACCCTTTTCCTTCAGCTTATTCACACGCTTCTCTGCTACTGCAACACATCACAGATACAACAATACACACAGTGTGCTGCACAGGAAATACACGCAACAGAAGACAACCTATGGAAATGTTATTTTGATATGCAATCAAAACCCTCAGATATTGTGAGGGTGAAAGGAGGGATGAGAAGGAAAAAGAGGATACAAAGACAATCAAAGAGACGGAAGGGTGGGACACAAAGAGCGACAGAGATGAAGAGATAAAAGAGAGAAACAAGTATCAACAAAATGAGAATTGAATGATTAAACGGCAGAGATGCAGAGGGACTATACCGAGCATGCATCACTGCAGTTTGAGAGAGAGGGGGTGAATGAGGAATTGTAAAATATAAAATAGCCCAGGTCAGCGTGCTCTCTGCTCACTGCTGACAGTACAGTTTAACACACACACACACACACACACACACACACACACACACACAC